CCACTGTATGTAAGAGGTGCACTCACATCTGTGAGATTATATATATATATAAAATTTTAAAAATCACATTTAATAAAAAAATATTTCATGGATAAAGCATATTGATGTGAGGTTCAAATTTAATGTTTTTTTTCCTTGATGGCATTTTTTTTGTGTTTTTCTTGGTGGGTCCTTTATGGGATGGTACCTTTCAGGAAATGTTTTCTTAGTATGTTGAGGTGTCCGTGTTTATTGCATTAAGACAATCAGGAAAATAACATTATAATCTAATCAAATACATGAAACACTAGAAATGAGGACCCAGGTTCTGAGGATAAGAAAATTCACTATACTTTTTTTTACAGGTTAACATTTAAAAAAAATAATAAGTTAACTTCACCTCCAAGTCCTTCTTACTAATTGACCACTCCATTTCATTGTCACCTACAAGAGAAAAAAAAAACAAACATTTATACAGATTTCACAGCTAGATGGTCAAATGCTATCAGTAAGAAAGGAAGTAAAGAGTAATATCCATTAACTGATATTTATTTGTAATAAAAATCTCAGGAACATGATGAAATATTTATATACATGCCTTTATGTCCAATCTAGTAATACTGTAAGATTGGGTTTAATCAATAGAATTAAGGCTTTTCACTCCTAAGGCACGAGGGTAGCGTAGCCAATAGCTTTTTAAAGATGTTAGCTGTCTGACTAGTATACTGAAAAAATGGGTAAAATAAGGTTTTAGTCAATGATCTGGAATAAGTGTGCATACCTGTACACTCATTGTAAAGTTAGGTATTTTGCATGTTTGTTTCATGTAAGGAACACAAAGTATTAAAGGAAATGGGTAAATATGACAACCAGAAAACTAGCACTTGCAGAGTAAGTAGCAGGTTGGTAGCCTCCTTTTGCCTCTATGGAAAGGTTTCGGTATAGCGCCTTTGTTTATATGGGATTCAACTAACATAACAGTAGTGTATACATCAAGCTTTTATAAAGCATTTGCTTTCAGCAAATTCCAGAACCTTGAAGTTTGCAGTTTGAGGAGGTTAAATATAGATCTTAAAGTGAAGCTCCAGTCAAAATTTAAAATGAATAAAAGTCAGTAGCTACAAACACTGTAGCTGCTGACTTTTAAAAAAACCAAAAAAACAGACACCTACCTGTCCCTCGATCCAGCGGTGTCCCCACAGCAGTCGGATTCACTGGCCGCCCTCTGTCTCCAGTGCTGGCATCTTCAGTGTGGGCACCCGGCTGTTACAGCTTGCGGCATCACAGCCGGGTGCTCACTGCGCTTGTACGAGTACCGCTGCGCTTTGTGAATAGTCCCATAGGCTTCTGGGACCTGTCAGGTGTCCCAGAAAACTACGGGGAGGGAGGACAACTTCTGCTTCCAATAACCTAGGCCAGGGGTCTCCAAACTTTCTAAACAAAGGGTCAGTTTACGGTCCTTCAGACTTTGAGGAGGCCGGACTGTGGTCAGTGAGAGAAGAAAATGCCCCAGCGTCAATGGGAGTAAACAATGCCCCATCATCAAGTGAGAGGAATATTGCCTCGTTGGTGTCGCTGAGAGGAATAGTGCCCCAATGCTGGTGTCAGTAGGAGGAATAGTGCCCTGTTGTTGGTATCAGCGGCAGGAATTATGCCCCTTTATTGGTGTCAGTGGGAGGAATGGTGCCCCAAGGGCCAGATAAAGGCAAGCAAAGGGCCACATCTGGCCCCCAGGCTGCAGTTTGGAGACCAATAACCTAGGCAATCGCAGTGGCCGTGGAATCGGGTACCCCCTCCCCCTCAATCCCAAAAGGTGCGTATCCTTAACAGGAAGTGGGGGACGAGGCCTTGAAGCATAACTTCCCCTTTTTGGGTGGAGCACCATTTTAACAGGAGACTGTCATTTACGGAGACCCTGTAATCAGACCATTGATTGTTTTATAAATCATTTATTTTAAAGGACACAACTGGGCATAAAATAGTTACAAGGAGAAAGAGCCATCTTTTCAGCACACAGATCTTTTTAACCACCTCAACCCCAGGAGCGCACGGCAATTGGTGATGTGCTGTGTCCCTAGGACAGAGAGCATCACTGATCGTGGTAAAGAGCAGATGTAGGCTCTACCATGTGATCAGCTGTGTCCAATCACAGCTGATCACACGTAAACAAAACTGCCGGTTATCGGCAGTCCTTTCCTCAAGCTGACAGAGCATGAGGAGAGGAGAGCCGGTAAGTGCAAATCCTCAGAGGGGACATCTACACTGAGTGCCCATCAGTGATGCCTGCCGATGCCTATCAGTTTCCATCAGTGCTGCCTTTTCAGTGCCCATCAGCAATGCCCATCAATGCCTCTTCATCAGTGCCAGTCAGGGCCGCCTATCAGTACCAGTCAGGGCCGCCTATCAGTGCCCATCAATGATGCCGGTCAGTATCTATCAGTGCCATTTATCAGTACTGTCTATCAGTACCGCCTAACAGTGCAACCTCATCAGCACACATTAGTGAAGGAGAGAAATTACTGCTTTACAAAATTGTATAACAAACTAAGAAAAACTTTTTTTTTTTCAAAATTTTGTTTAACAAAATATAAAAAACCCAGTGGTGATTAAATACCACCAAAAGAAAGCTCTATCTGTCTCAAAAAAGGACAAAAATTTGGTTTGGGTACAATGTTGCATGACCACGCAATTGTCATTCAAATTGTGAGAGGCCTGGGCAGGAAGAGGGTTAGAATGTCTAGTAGGTAAGTGGTTAAACCAACATAACAGGTAGTCAATCATAAGAGTCAACCATACAGCAAATCAATCAAAACACAGTGCACTGATGTGTGGCTCAGAGTATAACGGAGTTCCATATAGTTTTTAAATATACAACGGTAAATTTGGGCAAGGAAAAAAAGGGGGAGAGGGAAGAGGGAAAAAGGGGATGCCACCAATACCTTTGCAGTGGGGCACACAAGACAGTGTAACATAAAGGGTCTAGGTGGAATATAGGTGTCCACGGGGAGAATACAGAGAAAGTTCTGGTGGCAAAAATCTAAATAACCTCACCCCATTATGTATTTAAACACTGTGCAGAGTGCCTATTAATATAACATTAGCAATTAAACCCTCATCACTCAGTAGTGGGTCAGGTTTGGTAACATGAGGATGAAACAAACATCTGCTGATGTGGTGAGGTGTTTAGCAGCTGACAGTCACCACCTCGTAACTCTTTAGATCCTCACATAACTGTGTAGGATGACAGCATCTAGACTAAAGGCACACCCATATTTATATACAGAGAACTCAAGCCTCCAGGTGACCCCCGTCAAAGCCAGGAAGAAATTACTTTACCCAATAAGTGAAAGTTAAATGATGTAAAGCAGCATGAGGATAACATGGAGCAATGCCCAGTGGTGTTGCAGGTATAAGGCATGGTATTCCAACAAAAAGACACCCTAAGAAGAATGTGTGTTGGAAACCACCAAGGTAGAAGAAATAAAAGAACAACAAAATGGGAATGGACAAATTTGCCTAATTCTAGATGTTCTGTCAAGTAGGACAATGGCACAACTGACAGAAATTGAGCAACCCATTAGGCATGGCCTAATGAGTAAACATTTATAAACAATAGGTGATGAATAAGTATAACTACAAGGCTTGTGGATGAGATCATCCACATCTCTTGGAGAACCTCCAGCACATAATCATCAAACTTAAAGCCGGCCAAAGATGGAGCAATTTTTTTTCCTGCAACCACAAGTTGCAGGAAAGAAAAAAATTGCTTCATTCCCCCATCACACCACCGAGTGATTACTGTTAGCAGCTATAATAGCCGCTAGCAATAATTGCGTGTAAAATCCAACAGGATGGTTGTACCAAAGTTGATTGATCAACTTGGGTACATTCAGCCTTCCCACACATAGTTCAAATCTTGGCCGATCCCTGCTGAACCGGCCAAGATTCGAACGGTCTATGGCCGGCTTAAGGAAAGAGTGAACGTAAACTATTGAAATAATACAAAGAAAAAAAAGTTGTTTTGGCAAAGATATACCAGTATCTGCCAAGCATAGACTGTATGGTGCAATGAAGATCAATAGTCCCATTATCCTGCATAATTGCACAATTCTCTTTTACATAAGCAATCACAAACACATGTTAACTGAAAAAATATTGTATGCATGAAAAACGGCCTGAAGACAAAGAGAAAATACAGTAATCTAATTGTTTGGTTAAAAAAAAAAAAAAAAAAAAAATCTACATCTTATCTAAATGTTAATCACAGAAGCACAGATCATTTGACCTTAAAAAAATATGTAAACCCATAACCACATCAAAATATACATTTTACATTTGAAAAGTATCCATTCATATAAAACACAAGATCACATCAAGAGTTGTAATGCAGAAATCATCAGTCAAGCTGCCATCTTCAAGAAATCGTTAATCCTGCTAATCTTAAAACTTAATCTTACCTTGCTCCCTGCTTCTGTTTTGTGGGGGGAGGGGTGGGCGGGGTTGGGGGGGGTTATCATCCAGTGAAGTCCTGGGGAACACAGGAGCTCCCTCCCACAAGATTTTGGGTACTCCGCATTCCCTCAGATCGCAGCAGAAGGATGGTGAGGTCACCTTCTCCTAGGTGCTGCAGTTGGAAGCCAGGGTTAAGAGAGATACTTACTTACCTTTTTCCCCACAGGCATTGTCATTTCAAAGTCATTGGTCCCTATAGAAATGTATATGAACTGATGCACTGTGGAGTGGACAGGACTATAGCAAAATTCAAGCATGGGCATATTTATAAAGCAGTAAATATAACATTCACCAAATAGTCACTGTGGGTGAATCTTAATGGTGCATGTGTTTTAAATTACAGGGAATTAGGCACCTGGTAAAAATCATTATACCACACAAGTTTATAGTTTTATATTTTATTAATTATAATTTAATAAATTAATCCTCTCCAAAAAAATATGCACAACCTCCACTACATGATCATTTCATACACACCTCCATAGCCACTGGTGTATAACATCAGACACCTAGGCATGCAGACTGCTTCTACAAATATTTGTGAAAGAATGGGTCGCTCTCAGGAGCTCAGTGAATTCAAGCGTGATAGGTTGTCACCTGTGCAATAAGTCCATCTGTGAAATTTCCTTGCAATAAATATTCCACGGTCAACTGTTCGTGGTATTATAACAAAGTAGAAGCAACTGGGAACAACAGCAACTCAGCCACGAATTGGTAGGCCACGTGAAATGACAGAGCAGGGTCAAAGCGCAAAGTGCGCAGAAGTCACCAACTGCCAAGTCAATAGCTAAGGACCTCCAAACTTCATGTGGCCTTCATATTAGCACAACAACTGTGCACAGAGAGCTTCATGGATTTGGTTTCCATGGCCGAGCAGCTGCATCCAAGCCTTATATCATCAAGGCAAATGCAAAGCATAGGATGCAGTGGTGTAAAGCACGCCACCACTGGACTCTAAAGCAGTGGAGAGGTGTTCTCTGGAGTGATAAAATCACACTTCTCTGTCTGGGTTTGGCGATTGCCAGGAGAATGGTATTTTCCTGGCTGCATTGTGCCAAGTGTAAAATTTGGTAAAAGGGGAGTTATGGTGTGAGGTTGTTTTTCAGAGGTTGGGCTTGGCCCCTTAGTTCCAGTGAAGGGAACTCTTAAGGCATTAGCATACCAAAACATTGTGGACAATTTCATGCTCCCAACTTTGTGGGAACAGTTTGGGGATGGCCCCTTCCTGTTCCAACATAACTACGCACCAGTGCACAAAGCAAGGTCCATAAAGACATGGATGAACTAGTTTGGGGTAGAGGAACTTGACTGGCCTGCAGAGAGTCCTGACCTCAACCCAATAGAACACCTTTGGGATGAATTAGAGCGGAGACTACAACCCAGGCCTTCTCGTCTGACATCAGTGCCTGATCTCACAAATGCGCTTCTGGAAGAATGGTCAAACATTCCCATAGACACACTCCTAAACCTTGTGGACAGCCTTTCCAGAAGAGTTGAAGCTGTTAAAGCTGCAAAGGGTGGGCCAACTCAATATTGTACCCTACGGACTTAGACTGGGATTCCATTAAAGTTCATGTGCGTATAAAGGCAGGTGTCCCAATACTTTTGGCAATATAGTATACACTATTAGGCAAACAATGAAACAACCTCCTATTTTAAAGGGCACATTCTTATAATATAATTTGTGCTTAGAAAAATGGATTTTACTATTAAACATTTTCCTGCCCAAAAAGTTATTTTGTATCAGTTTTCAAATTAGATTAATTAGTATTCAGTTAATTTGCCTCCATCCTCGGGGTAACAGGCTAGTGAAGCAGTTACAGGATTTCATGACTCTCCTTACTGCTAATAAGGCACGCGGTTTGAATTTGTGCATATCTAAATTCTAAAAGGAAAATGCACCAGTAGAAAAAATGAGAAAAAAAAAAAAAAAACAACTATAGTGCAATCATAGCTTAAACTGGATTTCATTTTTACTTGCTGAAGATGAGCAGAATATGAGAAAAGAATGAGTAATATCTAACATGTTTTTATTGCTACATGATTTTACACCACAGTTTCCCTACCGACTATTAAAAAGTTTACAATAAGCAGGATAAAAACTAAATTAGGACCAAATTAAAAAAAAAAAAATATATATATATATATAATATATATATATATATATATATAGTTTTTTTTCTTTTTTTTTTTTTCTTTTTAGAAAACACACATTACATTTACAGAGTAGAGATAGAGGTTAAAGGGTAAGCTCCAAAAAGATAAAATTATCAAACCAAAAACTTTGCATACTTAAAATGCAAAAAAAAACAAATACAAACCTGTCAATCTTTCTGATCACCAAAACTAACCATTGTTGCTGTGTGTTACTGCATGCTAGTCAATTTTGCCCTTATTAGTTCAACTTCTACTAAAGTTGATTCTGATTTGTCCCAGGATACTGGGGCATGCAAATGACCTGTTAGAGCACTGAAGCATAAGCCATGGTTTTAACACATACTGAGATAATAAAGGTCACTCCAACAGGACTCTTAGGTAAATTCAGTATTATTTAGAACTTAAACTTTTTTTTGATATATGGTGGTCACATTGTTTCTTTGGGGGAAATTGCTTTTGATACCTGACAATGGCTGGAAAAGTGTTAACCTTGATAATATAAGACCAGAGGCCATAATGAGCTTATATGCTTTACTGTACTATAGTAAAGTGCATAGCTACTTAGATATCGCACCATTTTATGAAGTTAAAACTTATGCTAAAACATATTCAGACAAATCCTATAGTAAACTGCAATAATCATTTTAGACTTCATATTCTGGATTTCTTCGTTTGTGCCTTACAATGCTTGTGTTAAATTCAATGCCCCTGTATAATAAATTCCACTGAAAGTCAAATGATGGAAAGTTGTGAATATTTGAAAGTAAATTAAGACTTTTCCGTTACAGACCTTTACACGTCCAACTATTTCAATAATCAAAGCCTAACTACACTTGGGATAGCTTGTAATCCCTGCTTTTATTTATTACAGTAGAATACCAAAGATGCAATAATAGTAATATTAGAAGGGCTGGATTAACACCAGGATTACAACTCGTAGCCATTACATGTTAGCTTTAAAAAGCATATGCTAACACATCAGTGTTTCAGAAACAAACGTAAAAGGTAGGTTTTTTTTTCTTATATAGCTGGAAAATTATACATTCTGATTTCACATTCTAGTTCTGTTCTTTCAAAATTAATGCATCTACCAAGTGTTTTTTTTCTCTCCTTTTTCCCCAATCTTCGTAATAAAAACTGCACCGCTTATAATCCACAATTTAGGTCAGAACACAGTCTAAAACCTTCTCCCTGTGTTAGTGCGGGTTTCTTAAATCCAAGGACATACTACGTAGGCTAACTGGCTCCTGCCTAAATTGGTCTTGGAAAATCTGTGTGCTTCTAAAGCTACATTCCCTTGGGAATAGAGACTGACGTAAAAGGTTCTATGCCCTCTCAAATTCATGGAAATATGCTGACTTTGTGAAAAATGTAAAGAGAATAATAAAATTATCTGCAAAAGAGATGGCTTATTTGTATTTCACTGCATTAGACATTATTGTCTTACATAAGTGTTCAGACAATAATTAGAAAATAAAAGATACCATTCCAGGGACTGGTAAAAAATTAGCATTTTCCACAGACAAGAAAGTGACAAAAAAAACCCTTCCACATAAAAATACATTAATTTTGCGTAAGCGAACGATGACAAGTCTAAAAGAAATATGCCGATATTTAAACTATTATAGAATAGATCCCTTACCAGTTTATGGCAGCCATACCCTCTCTAAAGCCCAACACTTGCCAAAATCTTGTTTGCCATGCTGGTGCTATTATTCACCAGAGATACAGTGAAAGTACTGTGTAAATTAGGGGCAATGACCTCTTGTAATCACTGCTGAAAGTACATGGCAAAACAATGAAGAGCAAAAACATTACACTGCTCCACTCAATTAAAACACCTTTGTTTTGAGACTGAATTGGTTAATGAATGTGCCTGTGATTGCTGCTTTGAGCTTTACACAAAAGGACTGCTACAAAAAGCACTGCACACAACCAATGTATTTAAAACAAATTTACACATACATATGCATGTGTCTATATGTATAATTATAAGTTTACAAACCTAAATACTTACAAACATATGTGCAAACATTTTACAAAAACAAATGGAATTACCTGCTAATTTGTCCCCTTTCATGTACAGATGATTTACACGCACTTCAAATTTTAAAGCTTTCAGCATACTATTTTGTAGCAGTAAACAATACTAACAAACACCAAAAGGCATTCCGTGAGGCAATATTTATATGTAAAATTGCAATACAACAACAAAATGAAAGAAAAATATGTGCTAGTCTGGCAACGGTGAAGCTCTACCAAATTGTGTCTGGAGTTCTGCTTTAAAAAAAGGTAAGAAAAATCATCATGGTTTACATTCAGTACAACTTACAGAACATCTATGAGGATATCATTGGCATATGACCTACCAAACTAATATAAGATGGACCAAAGAAACCCAGTTTAGAAAAATTAAATGTTATTTAGAACACTGTCATCTGCTAAAATATGCAATCTAACAATTTTAGCAAGGTTTATCTTTATATAAGGTCTATCCCAACTAAAAAAATTACTAATATCTATAGGTAGAAAATATGATTGCATCGATAATAAATACCACAAATCAGAAATGTTTTTGAAACAAAAGGTAATGTAATCTGTTTATCACCTGCCTTTCTCTAATTTGCTACATGGCTAACTGTCCATGTAGAACAATGACTGGAGGAAACAACAACCACTGATTTCCTCTGCAGGTGAGCTTCCAGTAAAGTCTATGGCTGACCGAGTACAGAGAGTGAAAAAAGAAAGAAAAAAAAAATCTGAACCAAGATAAATTCTAAATGAATGAAAATTCTATGAAAATCTGTGCAGGGAATCAAACCCTTTTTTTTTTTGGTGTACCTGTTCTGTTTATTTTTGCTCTCATGCACAGTATTCAGGAACAACTATGAAAAGCAGAGCTGCTTTTCCAAAGAAAAGGGTTCAAGGGTTTTCAAAGATTAGCACTATGTTCACTGAACAAAGGACTCCCTTTTTTACTTCCTTTGTGAGCCACAATTGAAGTAGACCACAGGAAGAGTTAAATTCATGGCATGCTTGGCCTGCCACACAGTTGGGAGAGTTCTTTAAAAAGGGACTGTCACAAGCCATCAATGGGATTTACTCCTTAAACTGCTGATTTGTTCAGGTACAGAACAGAGGAAACTTCAGTTAACTTTTTTTTTTTTTTAATCACGACACATGAAATAAAAAAAGTCTGTCTGGAAAAAATGCATAGCATGACTAGCAAAAGTAGGGGAACACAGTTTGAAGCATGGAGTATTATTCTCTTCATTCCTTAACAATAGAGGCCTGACACATATTTGTTGAACAAATTACAGACATCTTGACAGATTTTAATCTCATTCCACAGTACAAGTAAAATCTACTTAACTGGGAAGCAAAATTAAAATAGGCTGTTCATATAATTTAATATGTAATGACCAACACAAGATGATACCATCAACATATTAAAACAAAAATGATAAATGTGTATACCAAATTTACAAATCCTAAACTGATGTGTCATATGTCTGCATTGTAATAGTTTATTGTAAATAATCAAAATTTGTCAAAAGTTAAAAAAAAAAAAAAATACCCTGACAACAAAATAATAGGTTTCATCAACTTAAACACGACTTTGGCCATTTCTCATGTCCCAGATTTCATAAGAGTATCTGGACAGAAAATGACCCATAAAAAAAGGAAGGTAAAGCAAGCACATGACCATCAACTTGCTGGAGAGCAGTAAGGAAAGCTATGCTTTAACCCACTGCTTTCAATGGAGAAGGCTGCTGATCACACGGTTCTGGTGATATTTGTCTGTTGCCCTTGGCAACCCTTGTCAAGTGTAACGATGCCGGCCTACAATGGCTTTAACCGGGACGCATTCTCTTCCTTTACATGAATGCAACAGGGCCATCTGTGT